GATTTATTGCGCCAAAGCTCCCATTCAAGATGGTGTGACCAAGATTACAGATATCTGGATCCAACTGATAATCTTAATGTTAACCGATACAGATTTAGTATTTTCAAAATCATTGTCTGTGGGATTCGAACTCTAGACCTGCTGTCTGGGGGTGCAACAACTCCACCACTTTACTAAGTTGCCACACCCTGCTTTTTTTATTTTTGTTTTACTATGATAAAATTATATTTAGAATAGGTTTTTTCGTTAGTTTTTTGTTATATTTATTTGTTTTTTTTTTTTGTTTTGTTCTAGATAGTTTTTTTTTCTCATAAATATGGTTTATATTGTGGAAGAATAAGAGATCAAATATTCTACCCAAACTTAGATAGAAAAAGTCTTAAAAAACAGAATAGGCAGTTCTAAATGGGCCACTATCATTACCTGTTTAAAATCTAAACAGTGCGACAAGGTACATCTAGGACCGAATAATAACCAAGTAGTGCTAGTCTTCAAAAATTCGAACTATCTGTAGTATAGTATAGAAATTTTTTTTCTGTAATATAGATTATATTCACTCAAAGTGCCTAGTAGACTTGTTAAAGAATAAAAAAAAAAAAAAAAAATTAAATTTCAAACTATTATTTTCTTTTCTAATAATTTTAAGCAACTATTTTTAGATTTTTATCAACCTATATCAATCAACTTATTACAAGAATATACTAATATATCAATTAAAGCTACTTTATATTATTTATATACTTGTACAAATTCTACTTGCAATATTTCTCTAATAATACTATATATACTTTTTATAATCTAATCTCTTTTTTTAAACAATCTTTTTTATAATTTTTAACTATTTTAAAACCAAATTTAGACTTTTTTATCTTTAAACCAAATTAATTATTATTTGCTACTCTTTTTAAACTTTTTTCTTTTAAATCTCTTAAAAAATTAACTTATAAAGCAAACTAATAATTTATATTGCTTAATAATACTACAACCAATTCTAAATAAAACTTTTTTTTTTATATTTTTTCTCAAAAATTTCTTAACCAAGCTATTATTAATAATAATATAACCAACTTCAATCTCAAAAATGCATTACAATATACTTTTTCTATTTCAACAGACCCCATTATTTTGCTAATATCATAGCCTACTTTAATATTATATAATTTTTTATTTATTTAATTTTTTTTATTTTCTTTTAATATTACTAATCTTATTTTTTTAAGCTATACAATATATTTTGAAAAAACTTCACATCTTAATAATTAATACTGATCTTTTTTTTTTAAACTCTTAAACATCTGAAATTTCAAATTCACTTTTTCTTTTTTTTTAAATTCACTTTCTCTTTTAAATAATATACCTTTAACTTTATTTTATTATTAACAAAAACAAATCAAAATATTATTTTTTTATTTTAACTATTTTACTTTATACTTCGTAAAATTTTTAACAAAAATTTTTTTTTATTTAAAATAGTATTTTTTAACAAATATACTATTATTTCTCCTCAAATAAGCTATATACAACTAAATAACAAACAAACAAATTATTCTACTTTCTTATTTTTACAAATATATACTTTAACTACTTTTACTAATATTTTCACTATCAACAGCTTTACCAAACTCTTTGCAACATTACAACATTCTTATACTTTCTAATCTTTTTGAAAACTTAGTCTTCTAATCTTAAAAATAATCTAAAATACTACTAATTTGTATATTTTTAGAATTCTGTTCCAACTCTTGAGTGTATATATGTTTATTTATTTCTTCTAATATTTTTTTTACTAATTTTTTTTTATTTTGTAAACTATATTACTAACTTTTAATTATTTTTTAAAAAAAAAAAAACTTTTTTTTACCAATTTACTTATTATATTATTACAAATATATACTGTATTATTCTATTTTTAAAAATCTAACTACAAAAAATTTATATAGATAAATACTTCTGACTCTTTTAACCAAAATTTTACTAACCATTTCTATAATCTTATCTTGTAATAAAAGTATTTCTTTTTCTTAAGTCAAGCTTACAACCTTATTTTGAAATAAAATTTTTTTTACTACTCCTTTTAGTAGCAAACTTTACTTGAAACTTCTTTTCAAATGGCTTCTAAAATAACTTCAATAACCTATTTTATAAAAACTTAAACAAAACCCTAAACAAAATTCATATTTAAACTAAATACACTATACAATCTAAAATTTTCTGACAATCAATACAAACCCAAATTAAGCAACTCTATTAGTAAGTTTTATTTAAATTAAAACTTCAAAAAATATACAAAAATAATTTTCATTAACTTACAGTTTGTAGTACAGTGGTTAGAGTCTATAGCACTGCAGAGCTATATATTCAAATTCTACCAGTAGCATGCTAGACCTGGTGCACTGAGGAAGCACAACTAACTACAGCATAAATATCCATACTATTTTGTAAAAATTTTATAATTCTTTTAATTTCTACCTTAAATTCTTTTTTTTTAACTAACTACAACTGCAGTTCTTTTTTATTTACTTTTTCTCTTTTTTTTTTATATTATTATCTAATTTACAATTCCTTTTACAGTATTACTTTAACTCTATTACAATTATTCTAACTTTAACACATTTACATTTTATTAACTTTCTTTAATCAATCTATTCTACAATTAATTTAATATAATTATTGTAGCATTATTTAGTTTTATAAAAAAAATTTTTAAATAATTGACAAGTTTGGCTCGGGTTCGACTCTAAACTCAACCAAAATGACACTAGTTTATTAGATTGAATTATATTAAATATTTTTCGAGAACATTTTTATAGTAATAAATGGACTCAAATAAGAGAACCTTATTTTAAATATCAATGTTCTTAAAAAAATTGTATGTTCTTTGAGAACCATGAAAACATTGAATTTTAAACACTGGTTCCAATAGTAAACAGATTTATAAATATTAAAGCTGTTTGTTTACATAATAGAGAAAAACGATTATTGTTTTAATGAGAAAAGTGATACTGAAGATTTATAAGATTTATGTGCATGGGAATTTCAAAAAGATAAAAATAATGGTATTTTGGTTATCATTTTTTATAAAGATACTGTTTATTACCAAATGCATAATTGTCAAGGTCGTGAGATTAGCTCTAGAGAACCTCCGCCTTTTACAATAACATATCATAATATAATAAAGTAACGTGATGAAATTATTCTATTATGCTTTTATGTCGATTATAATGAAATCAAAAACTTAGAATATGGCTGAATGATTATTGGTTAATTTTTATCTGTTGTCTCAGAATTTGAGAAAAGCTGTAACGGAATTACCAGTACTGCAGTATATACTGTATTATCATGCGGATCTATGAATGTCAGGAATTCGGCTGTCGGGATTCTGTTGTCAATAAAATAATCTATCGGATAAATTGTCCCGTATATGACGACATATAGTATTTATACGGCAACTACTTATGGCATTTATACGGTATGTGGCACTTTTACGGCAAATATGCCGTATCGCTGTGATGTTTTTGCTGGGGTAGCTACCCCGTGATTTTAAAATGTTTGCATCATTAGTGGTTATCTAGTGAAATGCTTAAGAAAGCTTTTTGTTAGTGCATGAGAGGCAAAATTTTTGAAAAATGAGCAATGTTTTTCAAAACGAACGTTTGTTTTAGATTTTCCTAATTGTTATACGATTAACTATTAACTTTTCTGTCTATCATCACGCGTCCGTGTTTTTTTTTTTTTTTTGAAGGTTACGTATGGGGAGTTGCACTCTGGCTTAGAGATCACAGGACAGATACTCTTGTGACATATGCTAATGCTTCTTAAAAGATGTCACGGGTTTTTAAAATGCTGTTTTAACGTATGTTTTTTCGGTGAGGTTCACTTCATCGACAATCATTTCACTGATAGCTCATCAAGGCGGAACCTCTTCTTTTTTTTTTTAATTGTTGTTTATATAATGCTAAGTGAAAAACTCGCAGTATTGCGAAGTTATCGATCATTTAAGAAATCTGAAACTTTTTCTAAAGAAAATACTACCTTGACAAATATTATTAAAAAATTCTTTAGCATAAAAATTTTTCTTTTACAAGCAAGCGTAAATAATGTAATAATAATTGAACAAATACTGTATTTTGTTGAATAATCAATACGAGTATTAAACTAAATTGCGCAAAGATTAGAACTGATATATTAGAGATAGAAACTGTTACTCTTATACTGTAAATAGTTACAAATAAGCCATCTACCACGGCTTAATTATTTTCGACATAATTTTTTACTGCTTAAAGAAACGAAAGGAGCATAAATCCCTAATTTTGAATATACGTGTGTTTGGTAGAAAAAAGAAACTATATTTATCACAGGTCGAATGAAGGCGGCATCAAATCTCGATATGAACCTGATTTAGAACAGATATTTGGCGCAAATAGGAGACCTTTAAGATATAAATCGGGTTCAGGAATGCCGATAGCTCTATAGGTAAATCGATAAGCTTGCCTTTTCGATTTACCTATAGAGCTATCGGCATTCCGATATGCCTATATGAACCCGATTTGTATCTAAAGATCTATTTGCGCCAAATATCTGTTTCAAATCAGGTTCACATCAGGATTACATGATGCCGATTGGTGCCTGATTTGCCTTCATTCGACTTGTGTACAATAAACGAACATATTTTAATTTTATTTTAGCTTGGTAAGTTTTACCTTTAGCCTTCATTTACTAGTTCTTTCAGTTTCACTGGTTTCGTCAATTTTTAGTTTCGCTGATTTCGCCACATTTCGCCAATTCGTCTTTTAAAATTTTTTCAGCGAAACCACTAGGTTTCGCCTAAGAACTATAAACCGGGTTTTACCTAGGGATGGTAAAAAATTATTTTTCATCGACGATGATTAATATATTCAGATCATAATCATCACATATTTTAAATCAGTGAAAAATGAAAATTGATTTTTTACCATTCCTACCATAAACTCAGGTTTTACCTCAGAATCCCGACAATACTAATTAATATTGTCGGGATTTTGGTATTGTCGGGATCTTGTTTTCGGGATTTTGAATATTGAGGTTCTGAGGTAAAACCTTAAACCCGATTCGGTTATAAGCGACGACAATCGATTAAAGTCAAAATTTTTTTATATGACATATATTTAAGGTTTTAAACTTTAAATTTTAAATTTATCATCGGTTACTATTACAGGATGGTTATTGACTTTAACCGATTGTTATCGGTTATGACCGAATCACTATTCAGAACAACCTGTAATCAGCCACAGTGATCTGCATCTATCAAATCCAAGTGCAAATTCGGTCTAACTTACTGTTACGTATCTTTGTGCTTCAGTGTTGGGAAATGACCGGTCACTTGATTCTAAATGACCAGATGACCAAACGACTTCAAATGATCCCCAGGTCATTTGTCGTTTGGTCATCTATAGGGATGTTAAATTGGTCTATCGATCCGATCTAAGATCAGACTGATCCGGTCTAGTATTATGTAAATGGAATAAATTAAGCATTTTGGATCGTCGATCTTCGATCTTTTAACATTTCTAGTCATATAATATATTTGTATTCAGTGTTGGCATTTCCATATTTTTTCAAAAATATGGACATAATCCAAATGTATGTGTCCAATTAAAAAATGACTATGTCCATATTTTGTGTCTATATTATTTTAATTAGTTCAAATGCCAACACTGTTTATATGTATTAAAATCGCTGACATCACGTGACCGGATTGCCAGCCAATAAGATACAGACAAATGCGAGTATAATTTTTTATATCAGGTCATATAGTCATTCCAAACGTAAATGTCATTTGGTCATTGGTTATTTGAAGCGCCAACACTGTTTTGCTTCGCTAACTATCTCGTACTTTATAGGTTCTTATTTTTTTTTAATTTGTAAATTGTAGATACTGTATAACAGAAATACATTATATATCTTGTATATGAAATAGAAATATGTACGAACATTGCTATAGTAATTTCAAATGTATGTACTGTATGGTTAGCAAAGCTTATAAAATTTGGCTTTTAAAGATGAATCCTTTTTGATGGCTAGGTTAAAAGATTCTTTTTTGACTTAGAATAGGCTCTATGAAAACTATTATTGTTTAAAGAATTTATACTTATTTTATTAGCTATACATATTTTCTATTTATTTGAAAACATATCTAAACTTTTAAAGTCCGTATTTTTTTCGAAAATAAAAAGAACACGAAACAAATAGAAATAATATTTAGATATCTTTGAGAAATAATGCTTTCGTTTTTATTAAAATTTATAAATTATTATTATAATTTGTAATTAAATTTTTTGCTGAATAAAATTATCACTTTTGCTAATTAATGCACAAGAATAACATCTTATCACTAATTACAAGAAACAAATAGTAAATGTTCATTGGCTCAAAAGATATTGTAATTTGAATTTTACAGTTTATAGTGTGAAAAATGCAGGCCAAAACACTATGGAAAAAAAGTGAACCATCTCATCCTTTCTTTTTTCTTTCGCTGAAATATAACACGTCAGTTTATTCAATTTTCAACTAATTAAAAATTTTTGTCATTACATACTATATCTATTTTGATATAAGACCTCAGCCGCCCATGTCTAATGAAGTCAAAAGTTCATTGACTCATTGAACAGTAAATCATTTAACTTTTAATAGTAATTATGCATCATAATGTACGTGTAATGGCTTTATTGAAAATGCAGAGAAAAACAACAAATAATCAATTAAAAGCAGTTTTCGGTACACATTATAAAGTGATAAGTAAGATTAAATTGATAAGATTATTGATAAAATAAAATGATAACTATAAATTAGCCATACATTCATTCGTTTATCATTTACATTCAAAGTGATGCAAAATATGTTTACAGGGCATTAAAAATTAAGAGCTGTAACAGGTTGGAGCGGTTGCTCAATACTGCAATTATACAGAATGATATTTGTGGCTTTTTTTGTCAAATGTTTGACGACAATATAACGAAGAACTTTTAATCATAAATTTAATTACGTGAGAGATCATGAGAATTAATGCATTAATGCCAAAATAATATTTAATATTGATTTTTTTACCGATCATTATGTATATATCTGTCGCTCATTGACAGACATGATCTAGGGTGTGTTGTCGTTGATGATCGTATCATATGAACGTATGTCTAATGTCAGATGTATTCGTGTCGGTTATGTTGAAACTACAAAAATTACTGAAAATTATTCTTTCTTCATATGTTTGAAATTAATTATTATTATTTTTTTTTAAAGCACTAACTGAAAAATTTTTAGTTCCTTTCATTCCACAAGAAATCATGAAAATTAAATTATTACATAATTAGTTTAATAAAGTCATGGGCTAAATAATGAAAGAAGATTAAAAATATAAAGATTTTCATTCTAACATGACCCCGCGTTTTAAATTTCTAAATTTAGTAAACACTCGAATAAGGCAATGGTGACTATAATTCGTAACACCGTAGCGGTAGAATACAAACATTTATGCTTCATGGTACGTAATATTATGAATAATTCCCACAATTTGAACAATAGAGCATTCATAAAAATGTCAGCTGCGATTGGTTTTCCGCAGCATTTTATACTACAAATATGTATGCTACGCAAAATCAAGTACACAAATAGTATATGGACAATTTTTATTGAATAATACATATTTCTTTTTGTTTTACAGGCATCTTTCGAAAATTTCGGTGAAAGTTACGAATATTACAAATTATGAAGTGCATATTATTAGAATTATTTAGGATTAATTTAAATTATTAGAATTAATAAAGTTATCGGAATTGGAAAAAAGGCAAAATGAAATAAATAGAATTTAGAATTATCATTACTAGAATTATTCATCTAAAATGGCAAGAAGGCGAATAGGATGTCATAGTACAGTACCTTTGTACAGTAATATCATAATGCGGAGTATTTTTAATCGCATTCGGGATTACAAATGAACGTGTTCTACAAAGGCTGAACTATAATAATGCAACTCGGTATTTCACACATCGATCATTACTTAATTTATCATTAAAATTATCAGATGATCTTGATTTTTATGCATTATCAATTTTATCAAATACCGAAATACAGAAATATACACATTTAGGAATTAAATGCATCCATGCGCATATGAATCTTGGCGTACAATTCTGCACCAGTTTAATTGCCAATAGTGAATACTTTCAAGTTTTTTTGCCAAACATTTCAAAAATTTTTCAAAATTAAACTTATCCCACGCCAAAGTTTTTTCCGAAACGATCGTGAGTCATACAGTCAGTCAGTCATACAAATATTTAAGAGATCTCAATAAAGTACAAATAAATAAATGAAAATGAAAATGAAAATAGTCGGGATCGTGAGAAAACAAGGTTTCATTATTTTGATTCGTCTTTGATCATTAAATTGTAAAGAAGCATGAGATGATGATATTATTCGACAAAAGTAAATACTAGTATACTAGTATGAAACATTTTTAGTTATTTATTTCTAAAATTGTTCTAAAATTGATATATGATTTTTTTTTTTTCTTCAAGGATTTGAAAGTTCACACGCATATATGCATCCTTTTATAGTGCATATAAAGTAATCGGACACCTCCGTTAACCAAGTATAGAATAGAGAACATTATTAATTATGTATCACACAATATAACAATATCTGCGATTTGTAGAGTTTAGATAACCCTAAATTTTTGCTTCAGTGTTTATTTCAATGATGCAATAATTTCATTATGTTAGATAATCTCATATCCTTTATGTAATAATTAAGTGTACGACAAAAACAAATACAGTATGTTTTATCTAATTGTATGATCTTGGGACTATTTTTTATTGGATAAAACGATCAAATCTGATAAGATAATACTTATTCACAAATGGTAGTAAAATGATTCATAAACAATACTACTTTGTTTTAAATTCAGTTAGACAATCATATGATGATTAATGTATTATCCCGTAAATTGACCATTGGCTTTATTGTTTTTCTTTTTTTATTATTGAATAACGAAATCGTAATTTTCACAAAATATATAATAAAAAAAAATATAAAAAATTTTTTTCTAAAAAAAAAAAAAAAAATAGAACCAATTACTTTCGCTCATGGTCGTAATACAACATAGAATTTTCTAATGAAATATTTAAAAATTTTTAAATTTTTAATAGAATAAATAAATAAATAAATACGTGTAAAATAAAAGGAATAAAAAGGTATATGCGAGAAAATTACAACCTAAGGTCATGAGATCATGGGTAGTTCATTGTGAAGAGAGAGAGAATTAAAGTTATCAATATAAACATTAATAGAAAAGAAAGAACAAACTGGCTCTTGTTGACGGTATTGTGCTACGCCAACTTTATTATTTATTTTTTTTTTTAGATAATTTTTAATTTTCAAATAATGCGTATATTATTATATGGTTCGGAAAGGTTATAAAAATGTGTAATAATAAAATAGGTTAAGATTACTATATAATACAATTAGGATATATTTATATTGGTCCGTGGACTAAATAATAATGATCTACCAAGACAATTTAACATATTACGTAGTAACAGATGATTATACAATTATTATTATGACGATATATTTTATTGTACGTATATAATATATTATACTATACGTACTATGATTATATATCAATATCATTATCATTATATATATATATATAATACGTATATATATCTCTATTGTATAAGAATATGTAACACGAGCTATTCCCCCACATTGCTACTCGCCAAATATTTTTTGTGTTGCGTAACTATAAAAATAAATGATGTTTTTATTACTAATTTAAGTAATATTATGGCTTTTCATTTCTGAATTCATGTTATATTGATTTTTTATTAATTTTAAAATGGTTGAAATCTAAAATATATAAATGAGCCCTTCCTATCCACTTTCAATTTCAATTTCAATTTCAATTTATCAAACGAAAACAAATTAAAAAACGATAATACTTCTGAAGACTAATAATTTATTTCTTGAATCAAACTATACTTATTATTATCTTATTATTTTTCTTATTATAAAAAAATGCAAAATTTAATTTTACCTCAATTATTCGCTAATCCTTTCACTCATGCACAGGTTGTTCCAGTGAAAAAAATTTCTACTATTCCTTATATTCCTCCTGAAATTATTCGTATCATCCTTGGTCTGTTAAGAAATGATAAAAAAACCCTTGCTTCTTGCGCTTTAGTCAATCATACTTTTAACCTTTTTGCTACTCCAATATTATATCATACCGTCGCATTTACTTATCCTTACACTTTTACCCTTTTTGCAAATGCAACAAATGATATCAAAATACGTTGCTTCAAAATGGTTCGTCATTTGGATCTTTCCGGTTTTTCCACTTGTGGTCTACGAAAGAGTTCCTCTTCTATTCAAAATGTCATCACTCCCAATCTTTTAATTCATATTCTAAGGTCTTTTCCTTCCATAAAGGCCTTCTCTATATCGGAAACTTTGGAATCCGTAATTACCCTTGATGTTATAAAGGTTCTTTTTCTTGAATGTAAAAACATTAATACTATTGATTTTTGTGGTTGTTCTAGTAAACAATTTGGTAACGCATTGGAAGAGTTCTCTGGTTTAGTAGGTCGTGTTAAAATAGATTTACAATTTGATGCTAATGATGAGGAAATGGTCTCTTTTCACATGGATCATAAACCTTCATTATCTCACATTCAAAGACTTTCTTTTCATGATTGTCCAATAATTTCTGAATGTTCAACAATTATCCCTCTCCTTGCCCATGCTCCAAATCTTACTCACCTTGATTTAGGTGGTTGTTCCGTTGGCGATTTAACTTTATCCTTTTTGGCTGAAGGAACAAATGCTCCAACCACTTTATCTCATTTATTATTGGCAAAGTGCAAAAATATTTCGTCAAGCGCTATCGCCTCCTTCGTCTTCAGATGTTCTCAATTAAAAACTCTTAATCTTTATGGTGAAAGAGATATAGCCACTGCAATTCAGGAATGTGATCTGATGACTATCGTTCGTTCGCCAAGTGCAAAAAATTTTCAAACCTTAGACATTGGATCTTCACAAATAACTCCAATGATTCTAACTGCAATTAAGGAGAATTGCTCATCTTTACAAAATCTTGGAATTTCAAGGGCTCAAATCTCTAATATAAGTCTTATCAAAGATCTTTTAACCGCTATGCCGAGTCTACAATATCTTGATCTCACATCGATTCCATGTTTCAACCCCTTAAACACTAATAATTTGTTTATCACTATAACAAAGCATAATCATCCTATTCACACTATCGAAATGAGTGAATCATTACTTAAAAAGCTCTGTGCAATTGAGGGATGGAAGATTGACGTGAACTATGGCAGAAGATGGTATTACGCTCGCGAAACTCAGGGCATGTTTAAACCTGAAATGACTCATTGTAGGAAGTTGGACGTAACCGAATCTGGACCGGAATGTATGAGCAAGATTTTTCAATATTATAGTTTTGGCGTGTGAAAAAAAGAAATCATACAAGAAAAAATTTTCCATAAACGGATAATTATAAAATCTCGAACAATTCAACTCAATGTCTTACATTAAAAAAAAAAAAAAAAAAAGAACTAATTTATACATATATATTATTATTATTATATAGTTTTTGTAAGAACATTTTATCATACTGACAGTTATTACTGTCCAAGAAGTCCTGTTGAGGGACTTGTAAATTCTCGAAATGATGTACATATATTACGCCACTGGTGTTAATATACACAAGTGCGCAAAAGAACAAACTTTCATATGACACTGATTGGGTCAATATAAAAGCCCATCATTATGCAGATTAGATTAACATAAAATTAACATTTCTCTGTAAGTGTCTATATACACATGTATATACACGTATACGCATTACTTATAATTTATATAATTTATATATACTACAGTTTTAAAAAAAAAAAAAAAAAAAAAAAAAAAATATATATATATATATAGAGATTTTTTTTTTTTAATAATATATAATAAATAATAAATAATAATAATAGTCATCATAATGTGTTCAAACTTAATTTAAAAAGTATCTGATAATCACAATTGGCGTATATGTTTCCAGTTTTAAAGCTTGATAACGAGTGATTTTACAAATTGTCACCACGAATTTTTAGTTTCGGCTTTGACTTATCCTTTTTTCACGAATATTTAACATGATTTTGGCTAGTAGTTTTTTTATACATAAAGCCAATGTTTTATAGTATATTTTATATATTTATTTATTTAAAAATTTAAAACTTTCATTTTGTTATCATTTTAATTTTACCATAAAAACGTTACATTTTGGATACGAACGTGAAAATATCTAAACTTAAACATATCACATTATAAATATCAAATGCTGTGTAATGATTAACATAGAAATTTTTATTTTTAGCGTATTTTAATAAACTCGTGATAACAAAACTTATAATTGAAAAAAAACCATCGGATTCGTTTATCTGACAATCTGAATAATGATTCATAAAAAATGTATATCGGTGTTTAGTCGATTCACGAATAAAATATACAGTGGGTATAGAGTGTGAAATGACTGGTTCCAGAAATTCTTAAAATACGCATATATTAATTATAATCTGTTTAATTTATAATTTTATACGTATCGGTATACGTACTACTGTATACAAATTCAGTATTATGCAAACTTTAAGTGCGAGCCTTATATTTACTGACTAGATTAATAAAAGCTATGATATTAGCGTTAGGAATTTGTAATGATTTGAAGTAATTGTCTAACGCTAATGTTATAAATCACATGAATTTTAATTACCAAAGTTAAGCTGATGTAAAATGTATTGAATCTAGAACCATAAAGAACGATAGTAGATCCCCATTATTATACTTCTATATCAAGGTGTGAACCACAAAACTACTATAAACGCGTGTATACATTTTAAAACTTTTCCATTTTGCATCCTATATTCGGATTGTAGATCTTAAAATAGAATATAACAGAACTATTAGATCATTTAACGATATGTAATTAGAAATGATCAAACAATTTCCACTTGATTATCATCTCAAAAAAAAAAAAGCACAGACCTAGATCGAAGCATTCGTAAAAAAATTGTGGATATTTATAATGTTTTCATAATGATAATCATTGTTCTTGCTCTGTTTCTCATTGCTTATCTATTAAAGATTCAAAAAGAAAAAATTATTCAATTCACTTACTGAAGACTCCGTAATCGGTTGATTATCTCATAAATTCTATTGGTTCTCATTTACGTCGATTTACGTCGATTTACTTCGGTGAAGCCGGATCAGGAAGAACCCAAATGACGACACGATAAACTCACGAGCTAGCGTTTTTCGCAAATCCGGATGATCATGTGATTGTCCGGACATCAATCCAAACGATCATTAATGATATCATCGATTAAATAAAACCAATAGTACAGTAATTATCGATATAATTATTTTTTTTCTTTGCAGAAACCTTTGATTTTGCTAAATATATTTATCATATAATAATTATATAATTAAAATATTATTTTTAAAAAATATATTAAATATATTATAAAAATATATTAAATATATATTGAAAATATATTAAAAATATATTTACAATTCTGCTAAGTCACTTATAGCTAAATCACTAAAATATAATTAAAATATGTTTAAAATATATTAAAAATATAACAAAAATAAAATATAATCTATATATAGTAAAAATATTATAAAATTATCATAAAATTATCACAAAATTATTATAAAATTATTTTGAAAAGATTATAAAAATATAGTAAAAATATATATATATAAGTACAGTATATAAAATTTTTTACTTAGATTTTGTTTATTATAATTCTTTATATATTTATAACAAATATTAATAATATTTTGGTTGCTTGGAATCTTAATTCAAAATTTGTTTTAAACCAGTCAATTATATTTAACTTTTTAATAATAGTACTTGTTTGAGTAATATATTTATTATTAAAAGTCTAATTTATATTTGATTCTTTCTTGTTAAGGTTTATTGGTTGACATGGATCCAGTATTTAGCAACAAAAATAATATATAAAATATATTTAACTCAAACTAGTTTGCAAACTTCGAACCAGACCTGAACCAAACTCAGACTTAACTAAAAAGTCTAAATATAAAAATTTGAGTCTGGTTTGATTTTCAGACCAGACCCAGACTTGACTAAAGTCTGGTTTAGGTTTGGTTTGTAGGAGCACTAATATTATAATTCTTATAGTTTTACTAATTAACTTTGTATTTATGTTCTAAATAAACTTGTTCTATATATAAAAATATATTATATTAGTATATATTTACTATATAATTTTAAAATTTTAAAAAATAATACTTAATTTTGATTAAGATTTTAAAATAAAACTTCTTTTTCTTAAATTTTAAAATTATAAAATAAATATATATTAATATAATCTATTTTTATATATAAGGTTTGGTTAATTAAAACATGGCTTATATCATTTTTTCTATTTTAAGAAAATCATATATATTTAAAATTTTGTATAACAACAACAATAATAATCTATTATTAGTATAATATGTTGAATCAATATATGCTAGCCAAATTAAACCTAGATGCTGCACAAAAAATACGCAGATGATCTTTGATTCTGATTGGCTAAAAGCAATAAACAAAAAAATTAGGCCAGAATTATTTATAATTTTATTAATAAAATCATAACTACCTATTAAGTAAAAATTATTTCTGGGCCAATTTTACTATAATGCGTGTTTATTTTTTAAAAATTTCTATTTTTATAATAAAAAATTAAAAAGTCAAATCTAGCCAGAATTTAGTAAACAATTTTGTAATGCAAGCTAAAATTTCAAAGATTACTAGCCATTAGCCAATCAAAATCGAGAATCATTCACATATTTTTGTGCGGCATCTAGGTTTAATTGCTAGCCAATTACACAAATCTTTTTCTAGCAGAAATCAACAATTAGATATCCAAATTCTAATTTTAAATCATGTTTAATCATATACAGCATTTTAAAAAATAGATATTGATAAAAAATTTTATTATACAAATCAATGCTTTAAATATCAAATTATATAGAAAAATGTTTACTTTATATAATAGTATAGTTAATTCATTTTTGCAAAAAATATCATAAGCCATGTTTTATTTAACTGGACCTTATATAAAACATGTTTATTTAAAATATGAAGATAGAGTTGTTTAGTAAAATTTTAAGAGTTATAATATTTTTATATAGTAATTTTATTAATAAAATTATAAAAAATGATATAGTATTATTCTCAAATACTTATTAATTAATACTATCTTTATGTACTAAGTAAACTTGCTTTATATATATAAATATATTATATTGGTATTTTTTTACTTTATAATTTTAAATTTTAATAAAAGAATACTTAATTTTAAATTTTTGATTAAAAATTTCAAAATTAAATATCTTTCTTTTAAAATTTAAAATTATAAAGTTAATATATACTGATATAGTATATTTTTATATATGAAACATATTTTGTTTGGAGTATAAAAATAGAATTAATTAGTAAAATAATAAGAATTATATTATTTTTTATAATTTTTTTAATTAAACTATAAAAAATATTATTATTTTCAACTTTTACTAAACAAATATTTTTTTAACTTCTAATTAAAGTTGTAGAGAAGTGTTTTGTAATAAAAATAATAGTTAAAATATTAAAATTAACTTGGTTAATTGCAAAATTTAAGTATTTTAATCTTTATAGATATTTGTTTTCTTTATTTATATAAAAAAAAAATTATATAGTCACAAAAATTAAAATATTTATAGCTTATAATCTACTAAGTTGATTTTAATATTTTAATTACTATTTTTGATTACAAAATACTTCTTTACAATATTTATTAAAAATTAAAAAAAGTTACTTAGTAAAAAAAAAAAGGTTTTTTTAAAAAAGGATTTTATAATTTATTGCTATGGCATTATATTGCTAGTCCCTACAAGTCACGTGACCATAGTAATAGTATATGGGATCAGCAGTTTGTATTACATAGAATCAGCAGTTTGTATTACATAGATTAGCAGTTTGTATTACATAGGATCGGCAGTTTGTATTATATAGATCAGCGATTTGTATTACATTAATATACAGTAATTATATATATATTTGTATCACATTATTTAATTGTTAACGTTACTCAAAAGATCAAGTTAAAGGTAGGAGTTAGCATATACTGCTATGTTGTAATAGCTGGTTTGGAAGAGCGATGCATAATAAATGCACAATGTAGTACTAACCGCTAGAAGAAACTAATAATAATGGTAAGAAAATTGTAACTATGATACTTTACAATAAAAGAGAAAATAGATACTTCGCTTTTTCAATACAAAAGATACATGTTCTAGAACCTACTCTATTATATCAGAGGCATACGCTATGTTAACTAGTGATGTAAACCAAACCCGAATAGAACAATTTGTGACTTTATCTAATTTGAGTTTGGGTAAGAGGAAACGTCGAT